CGGGTCACTCAGAAGTATTTCTAAAGTTAAACGTCTCATTATAGACCTCTAAAACCCACAAAAAACAAATTAAATGAAATGTAAAAAGAAAAATAGGTACTGACAAATTGTGTAAAAAATCAAAACAATCAATATTGAAAATACAAGGAACGGAAATTAATATAAACTATATAAAATACTGATACAATAAACAATAAACCTCTTTAACAACCATTCCAACTGTTGCATTCGTAGTTCGTTCTCTCAACTCTAATATCTCGCTTGCATCTTGCCCGTCTTTAATAAAGGTCTCGGGAACATCATTTTTGGTTGTTGACCTAAACTCTAAAAGAAAGTACTCATATGCCTCGGCAATGACATGTTCACGATCCTCTTCCACCCACCGGATGTTGATATCGTTGCGGGAAGGATGCCGTTGAAAATAATTGTGGAGAGTCATCGTGATAATCATAATCTGTTTCTGTTTGGGAAATGTGTAAGATGTCATATCTCGAAATATTGCCAGTTTCTTGTTTTAAATACCAAAAGTCCTCTCAATAATTTCGCGTAAGGATGAATGTCTTTTGTTGAATATTTGTTTCTTGTCCCTCGCATTATCGATGCCTCGTTCAAAATAAGGTATGTTGTATCTCGTATCAAAATAGTGCTTGAAATACCATCGCTGTAATGGATACCCAAAATTGACAAAATAATATTTATTTGATGTGAATTGAATGATTAGTGTTGAAGGAAAAAAGAATTAGGAGAATAACTCAGTCTCAAGTGAACTTGCGGGTGGATGTGAGAAATTTATTTGTTATTCCGTGTTACAAATTTAAAATTTCGATTGTCATGTGCACTGCTCTTTCAATTGCCAAAGTCAAAAGTGAAGCACATGTTGAAGTTGCATATCGCCATGACATTCTGGGTCGGGGACCCACAACGGCTGAAGAATGCGATATCATTCTTTGGAACACATGCATCAACGTGTGTTCCATCGATTGCTCCAATACAATTCTAGAAAAATTACGAAGGGTTACTTAATTACAATATTTATATAAAAATCAAATATAATAAATAAGATAAATTACCTTAAAGTGTGACATATACATCGTTTGAAATCTCTTGGACGGTCCGTTCAAATGTAGGATCTATTGGTTTTATGACTTGTGAAGAAAAATTGACAAGTGCATTCAACCGTATCAATAAAACCCCATCTCATATTTTTCATTTGAGGCAATTACATGTAGGGCACCCGAAACATTGCAATCTATAAATTTAACACTCTCTTTCATCTATTTTTCAAATTCTCTCTCAAACATCGATGATAAAAACATTCCATAACTTTGAATTGAGGCTATTACATACAGGACACCCGAAACAATGCTATGTACAAATCAATCACTCCTATTTCATCCATTTTTCAAATTCTCACTGAAACATCAAAGATAATAATAAAACCCCATCCCATATTTTTCGTTAGAGGCAATTACATATTGGACACCCAAAACATTGCTGTCTACAAATTAAGCACCCTCTTTCTTCCATTTTTCAGATTCTCGCTCAAACAAAAAAATAAAAACTGTATATAATTTTGAATTGAGGCAATTATATACTGGGCACCCAAAGTAATTCTATGTACAAATCAAGCGCCCTATTTCATCATGTTTTTGAATTCCCAAAAAAAAAATCAGTGGAGGTTATGTTGGAAGGTCATCCCTATTCAACATTTCGTCCTCTTTCATCTATTCTCCAAATTTCACTCAAAAAAATTAGTGGAGATAAAAACACCATTCCACATTTTTCATTTTATTTTTTTACAAAATTTAAATCACAAATCGCAAATGAGAAATCATAAAGTTACAAAATCTCAAAATTCACAAACTTCTCACAACAAATTGCGAATAAGAAGAGAAGTGAAGAGGAGAAAGAGAGAAGCGCGAGAGAGTAGTGGAGAGAAATGAGAGAGAGAAAGACGTACCGAGGGCTCGTGAGAGTGATCGAGAGAGGCAGAGAGGTACCTAGGGTTTGCAAAAGTGACCGATAGAGGCAGAGAGGTACCTAGGGTAGAAGAGACATGAGAGAGGAAGCCATGAGGTTGAGAGGGGCAACGGGGTAATACATACACGAAGAAATGCGGGCCACGAGCATTTAACACAAATTATTAACAGATTATTGAGATAAGCTGCAATGTCGAAGTAACCAAACACCTCAGCCGATGTTTTCAAAACGCACCACACCAAATTAGCTGCCCCAAATGGGTCTTAACTTAGGGTTGGTGAGGTTGGTAAACATGAAAGATGGCTAACTTATTCTATCATATGACATCATTTCTAGAGCTTCTTTGGCTAGGGAGTTTATTTGATGTAATGATATTTTAGTTTATGAGGAGTACCTGAGATGAAAGGTTCTTCTAATGGGAAACCTATTAGATGCTTATCATGTCACACTCTAGTTGACTCTTCCAATCCGCTAGAAGTGTAATAGGGAAGATGATTGTTTGCATTGATATTCATCTTGACTTTTACTCATCAGAATCTGGTGACTGGGAACACATACACAGACACACACACACACACCTGCCAACAGGTCACGATTGGACTATTGATCCGTCTGTTTCCTTTTCCTGAAATGCTGTTTAAGTATCTGATGATCTCAATGCTCAATCAGATAAACAATTCTAAAATATGATCTAAATATTCAAGAAATAATAATAATATGCATGTTGATTTATGACTAACATGAGCAATCATTTTTATAGTTGTAACTATCTAATTACATCAGTGATATTAAACAAGACATTTTTGTACCTTAGTAAATAAAGAAAATAGTATCATAAGCATCAACTGCTACAACTTGCTAAACATTAATACAGTTGCTAAATGCCAGGTGTTTCTATTGCATTATTCTAGTTCATTCTGTATTTGAATTCACTTGCTTTGATTTTATTTTCCTTCTTATTAACATTGCTCTTTATTATAGAAATTTCATATAATATTTGCATTGACTTTGACATTTTTAATTCATTTAAGTCATTGACTACCTTGTTGGTCATAATAATTGTTGATAAAGTTTGGTCATCCCAACATTGCAATTATCATTAGTTCATTGTTACTGGTTGGATCGTTCATTTTTTGTTATCGGTAGTCATAGATTTATTTATTTTTCCATTGGCTTATATTGTGGGAATTTTGTTTGCCTTCCCCGTCCAGGTTGTTATCCTTGTCTTCCTATTTATTACAAAATAACATGTTAATTCATTAATCTTTTTTAGCTGCTAATTATTTGTATTTATTTTCACTTAGCAAGAAGTGTACCTATTATATGTAATATTTAACATTTCATACTTAATTATGTATCAGAACATTTCAATTAATTTTAACTTGATTTCTTAAATTTCTTGGATTCATCAGTAACAAGTAATCATATACTTTTGAATTAAACTTTGCTAATAGAATATTAATGTGCTCAGAATAAAGGAAATATTACCATGATAATTCATTAATCTTCTTTACCTGCTAAATTATTTTTATTTATTTTCACTTCGCAAGGACAAATAGGATGCAATGGAGAAAAAGGATTTATATAGCCGACCCCACTTAGTGGGATAAAAGTTTTGTTGTTGTTGCTGCTGTTGTCACTTAGCAAGAACTTGTATCTATTATAATGTTGAATATGTAAGATTCAACATTTCATTCTTAATTTTTTAAATTAATTTTAACTTGATTTCTTAAATGTTGTGGATTCATCGTTAACAAGTAATTATATACCTTTGAATTAAACCTTGCTAATAGAATATTAATGTGTTCAATATAAAGAAAATATTAGATGCATGTACGTAATAAATTTATATACTTATTGGCAGCTGTGTATGTTAGATCAATTAATGATTTGCTCTTCATTTTAGAGATTGAATATTTCATCAAAGTTTTTGAATTCCTTTCCGAACAAATTTTCTAAATTTTTCTGCTTAAAAAATTTATCTTTTTTCATTCCCTTTCTTCTCCATCATCTATATTTCAACCTAGCTAAATTTACAAATTCATTGATTTTTTTAAACTTCAATAATTTAATTATTTTTATTAAGAAATTCAAAAAATAATAATTTTAACTGAAAATTTTCTCCACTCATAAATCTTTTGTACCTATAATTTCTCAACCAAATCAATTTGTGGGAAAGAAAAGGAGAAACCGAATCCTTATAAGAATTGATTTTCATTCTTCCCATCTCTTTCTTTCTTCTTTAATTCCATCTCTTCTCCTCATCCTTCTCCTCTATTTCTTTCTTATTTTCCTCTAACACCTTCACTAGAGAGAAGCGGAGCTCTGTTTCGCTCCAAGCAGTGGTAACGTGGCAAGGGAAAAGGGTTTTATAGTTTGTCTATACTTATATATGAAAATATATTTTGATCTAATAATATAATATTTAAATTTAATATTAATCTTTTAAGATCGTCCTGCTATTGTATGACATGGAAAGTGGGTTTGGTGCTTCTATATTGCTACGGTTTGGCAACAGTAATTTTCTACAGTTCACTATAACAATAACTGCCTCAGTGATTTTAATAAAATTTTTGAAAGTTTATTAAATATAAACTAATTAAATAACTTAATATATTTGAAAATTAATATATTTCTATATATCCAAGTAATCGAAATGATGTTTAAAATTTTACAAAAATAATTTTGATAATTTTTGGGATGCCCAAAAAATCAGATAAAAATTTGAGAAGCAAATATTACCTTTTGCTATTTTTAGAGTAATACATATCATCACGAAAATTTGTGAAGGTACTATTCTATGGAATAAATATTATGTCAATATTTCATATTTACCACTTATATATGGGAATCGCCAAAAACCTATCAGTAGTGGAATCATATACATGTAATATTTTTGTGCTTCCTCGTGTTTCTACATGTGCTATATGTCTACTCATGCTTTTTATTATACGTATATAGCATGTGAAGTGTTCTCCATAATTTATTTGTCATGCTAACGCTTTTGCTCACCACTATAGGTCCCTCCTGGTGAATACCGGTTATCTGCTTTGGCATTAAGTTCTGATACTTCTTCAAGCCCTCTGTTTTCTCCACCATATATTGATATCAAGGTCAACTCTCCATTGCTTGATATTGAGTTTTTCGAGGTAACGGCTTACTTAATTTAAAAATTTGATATACTTCTGTTATGAGGAGTAACGGCTTACTTAATTTAAAAATTTGATATACTTTCTAGTTGCAGCTGTTATGAGGCTTTTTAATTTTTTTTCATAAAATTAAAAAGTTTAAACAGTTTTCTGGACCTCTTAGATGTTTCTTTTACACAAAATAATAAAAAAAATTAATTAAAAAGGGTTTGCAGTCGATGTTTCTGAATACTGACTGCTTGGGAATTCAGGCTCAGGTAAACATCCATGGATCTGTACTTTGCAAACAGACATGCGGCAAATCTGTTTCTGTGGCACTTGCCAGATTAGTTGGTGTAACTGAGCAGGAGAGGAAGATGATTTCTTTGAGTAATGAAAGCGGTGACTTCGTTTTTCAAAAGATCTTTCCTGGGAAATATCGAATCATGGTACATGCACCCTTTTAATAACAGCTCGATTTTAGAATTTGATGAAGATTCTGTTATCTTCCGCTTTAGCTTTGAAACAATCTCAATTGGGAGAAAATGTATTTATATTTTGAAATTGATTTTTCCTAACTCGTTTTCAGTGAATATGATAAATTACTACGTTTATTTTGTTTTTATTTTGAAAAGGGATAGCTTTCTTAAGTTTGCTTAACGAGGAAAATAGTTTGCCCTATTTCATATACGAGGACAATTATGACAGACAAAAGCTTAGAAACCGTCATAAAACCTAGTTCTTTTGGCGTTGACAGAGAGCATTCCATTTGAATGATCTTATTTACCGAATACTTTGTTTATTTATATGCAAACATGGAAGAAGCTAAAAGAAGAAATAAGGATGATATATTCAATTTATAGAATATATTTCAGCTATTAAAATAAATCTTAATAATCTTTCATATTTTTTCTGATCACCATTTTTTTTTATTTTTTGCTTTCCTTTGAAAATAACGCACTTAATTGGAGTATAAATCTTAAGAAGTTCTAACATTTTCTGAATATTGAAAAATGAAGAGGTTCTAGAGCTTAGGCAAAATTTTCAGCTGATTATTCTTTAATGGAGGTGTGAGGAGTTATTAATTTTTTTGAGAGAGTTGCATCTTTTCTGAAGCAACAATTCTCTTTTATGTGTTTGGCTCTCTAATAGAATATACAAGTGCTTACTATTTAGATAACTGCCTTTGAAGTCATAACTTGTGTAATAGAAAACATCAAATGTTTTTGTAGAATTTTAACCCAATTATTTTGTAAGAAGAATTATATATGGCTCTATAGTTTGCTTTGATGCTAGGTTAAGTTACAAAGTCTACTTACTTTTTCAATGCATGTTTTCAGCCCCCGTACATCAAGATACTAGTTAAGTGATCGATCTTGTTGTTTAGCTCGATATAACTTCTCGTATACATCAAAGATTTGAGATTGTATTTTTTCATAAATAGCAATTCCTTCATCGTATCTTTTCACAGTCACAATAAGTAATATGATCAGGTTTATCATGTTCGATAGAGTTTTGTATTTGTATCAACAATTGGGCATTAACTTCGATCCACTCAGAATAATTTAAATCAGTCTCAGGGCGACTGTTAATGAGGTGAGTCTCTTGTGAAATACTTAAGTAGTCTGACAATTTATTCTGATTGAAATAAATGATGTCATTTAACTTTTCATCTATAATTTTGTCCATTAATAAAACCAAACTTGTCACATGTTTTTTTTTCACAACCATGTTTACCATGAAATATTCAAAGAGACCGAATCGATACTGAAAGGAGTAAAGCAACGATACCGCGCCATAGAAGACAACCGACTTCATGAATTGCTTTTGTTGAGGTTGGTTCAATATGTTCGAGATGAGACTCTTCTATGCCATTTCTGGAAGCACATGAGGAGTTATTAGGGTATTAAATTCAGTTTAGTAGTGTATCCACTACTAGATGGTTATATAGATGTGATAAAATGCCATATTGGAAATTGTCTCGGGAGCTTGGTGGGAGAGACAATCATACATTGGGATCCAGTCCTACCAGAGCGGATGTCTCTTCTAAGTGGTGGTTAATGAGAGCGGCTCTGTCTGCCATGGACTTCATCCCCAAGTTTATTCCTTCCCACGTACTTGTTTGTCAAATACATCCAATGAATCACTAGAATTGGGAGAAGTAATTTACAGATGTAGTGGCTCAAGACTTGATTCATGAGAATACTCTTTTATCTACTGTGCCAGCTCAAATTGTGCCAAAAGGATATTGATTTTTATTCTACCAGGTTGTGCTTTGTTATTACAATACCAATATGACTGACTTACCAACAGATCATGCCATTTGCACTATCTGCAACTGTGCCGAGCTGACGTTATGCTACAACAAGACATAAACTTCGACGAATGAGTTTGAAGCTCCCCAAACCCCGGAAGATTGACTCAGAGCGGGACGCATGCCATGACTCAACCTGATAGCTTATAATTAACTAAGGACCTACAGTTGGACGGTATTGTCATTTAATTTACTTTTCACAGATTTTTTCAGAACTTCCAATGTATAAAAAGGGACACTAAGAAATCGCAAAATATGCTTAACAAAAGTCAAACATCAAAAATTAACAACAAAATCTATAGACAATATCTCAGCCAGTATATATTAGTACATATCACTACCCAAATAAAAGCAGTACAAATAAACTACAATCATAGTAGCTATCATCAGTAGTCCTTTTGTTAACTAAATTCTTCTGGTCAAACATATAAAGCTGTTGTTTTCCTTAAAGAATTAATTTAATGTCTCTTATGAATGACGGTGGTATGAAACAGTCTCTAAAAGTGTTTATAAAATTGTTCCACTGCATCATACGACTGACTCTATCCCTAAATTTCTCTTACAATTTTCCTCGTTATCATCTTTCTTCTTCTTTTAAGGAAAAATAACAGTGCAACTCTCCTCTTTTGTGGACTTGATAATCCATCTAAAATCTTTTTCATTTTTAGCAACGCGTTCTTAAAATCAAATGGACTTCTCCAAAAAAGTGAGGTGATGTCATATCTTGAAATAATTTCAAATACTTGTCTATCTGACTTGCTTCGCTTAAACTAGTCTGAGTCTGAGAGCTCTTAATCATCCGAATTGCCGTACTCATCATCTCAGCAAAATTATATGTATTTACATTAATCTAAGGTGCATCAATTTCTACCACATCATCTCTAACTTCTTCCACTTGGTTTTTCATAATTTTGAAATGATATAAAAAAGATTATAATTGTACTCAATTTAACCCTTCTTTAATATTATTTATGAATTAATATAATAAACCCGATGACTATTTTTTATCATGATTCAATCTGATTGGCTCTGATGTCATTTTTGTCACAACTTGACTTAATAACTTAGAATTGACGAAGTCAAGAACTGCCATCAGACACTATTAACATTTAATTTATTTTTAATAGATTTTCAGAATATGTGTATGTAATATATATATATATATATATATGTATGTATGTATGTATGTATGTATTTGTGCGCAACTGTGGCCCGTTGGAGGGCGGCCTAAGTATAATTCCTCTCTGTCACGAGTTCGAATTAACACATATGGGGAACCAGTATTTAGGGGACGATTTAGTCCGTCATAAATATCTCTTTGTGTATATATATATATATATAGTGGTCTGATTTTGTATAATGGCGTCGCCTTCTTTTTTGCTCGGCTCTGCTAGAGTTTCCTTTGATGGCAAACCCTAGCAACAGATACGGCTTCAGTGATTCCTCTCCGGCATCTTCGGGCTCGATTCGGTTCGTCTCCCCCTCTCGCCTTCTTTTTTGCTCGGCTCTGCTAGAGTTTCGTTTGATGGCGAACCCTAGCAACAAATACGGCTTCGGTGATTCCTCTCTGGCATCTTCGGGTTCGATTCCGTTCGTCTCCCCTGCTTTTTCTTGGCTCGGGACTTCCAGGCTTTACGGCTTCTCTGCGGCCCGCTCGCGGGTACAACTCGCGATTTATGCGGCTTCTCTGCTCTCGTCCTCTCTTTTTTAGCTTCGACCATTTCAACGCGATCGTCTCGCGAGCTTTCTTGGCTCGGGACTTCCAGGCTTTACGGCTTCTCAGCGGCCCGCTCGCGTGTGCAACTCGCGATTTCTTCGGCTTCTCTGCGCTCGTCCTCTCTTTTTTAGTAAGCACTTGTATATTCTATTAGAGAGCCAAACCTTTTTCATTTCGACACGATTTTTTCCCCTCGTTTATCAGAGCTGCTTTCTTCTCTGAACGCCGCACCTACCTTTGAGGATGACTTCCGACAGATCTTATGCAGCTGTTCTTGCGGTTATCAACGCCTCAAGCACACCAAAATCATCATATTTCCCTCCTTTGTTTGAGTTGGCGGAGGACATCAAGAACCCTGATAGGAAGAATATGAAGCCTGCCATCCTTTTTACAGAAGTTGAATGTATTTAACTTGTTTTCTCCTGTCGTCTGAATTTGGTTGAAAAATTTCTTTATGGTCATCCCAAAATATAGCTCATTCGCAAAGAATTTTAATTTATGCACCTTGTTGGAGAATGAAAAATTGGACTATTAGATGAGAGACGAATTCTTATTCAAAGTAGTAATGAAGAAGATTACATGCGCTTATTTGCTAGAAGGATATTATGGATTGATAATAAAACAATGAAGATTTTAAAATGATATGTGGATTTTGACTCACATACGAAACCACCAATCATTCCGGTTTGGATTCGTCTTCTTGGTTTGAAATTGCATTATTTTTCTCAAAAAGTATTGTACTCTATTGTCTCAGTTTATGGAAAGTCACTCAAGGCGGACATTCCTACTTTATTTCTTTCCTGTCATTTTGAAACCAGAGTATTTGTTGAAAAAAACATCACTTCACCCGCTTTTGAGGAAATCTGGTTGGGTAGAAAATACCATGGATATTGGCAGATGGTAGAGATGTCAAAAAGTATTGTACTCTATTGCCTCAGTTTATGGAAAGTCACTCAAGGCAGACATTCCTACTTTATTTCTTTCCTGTCATTCTGAAACCAGAGTACTTGTTGAAAGAAACATCACTTCACCCGCTTTTGAGGAAATTTGGTTGGGCAGAAAATACCATGGATATTGACAGATGGTAGAGGTGGAGCCTTCTCCGTTGTATTGTTCGAACTGTCGTATGTTCGGGTACTCCAATTCTCAATGTCACCATCTTACACCCCCAACGCAGATCAAAAACGCAAACTGGCCCGCTGGAGGCTGTGATTGCATCTCATCCTGACCAGCTCCAAGTTTTTGACACTATTGATCATCAGAAGGATACCCCGGACGACGTCACTATACCAGTAGCTAATATGACAACCATTCAGTCCCTAGTTGTAGCTCGCCTGCCTTTGGAACCTTCTATCATGGGGGAGAGGTAGTATCTTCAAATACCGCCTGCCCTAGAACCTATCACCGATAATACAGGT